TCTATATTGAGTAGACATAGTACCGAAGTCCTAGCCAGAACAATTAGGCAAGAAAAAGAATAAAAGTTAATCAAATCAGAAAAGTAAAACTGTCCCTATTTACAGATTCTTATATATAGAAAACTCTTAAAGACTCCATTTTAAAAACTGTTAGAACTAATGATAAAAACTCAGTAAAGTCGTGGGATACAAAATCAACATACGAAAATCAGTTGTTTCTATACTCTAACGATGAACTACCTGAAAAGGAAATTAGGAGATTAAGCCCCACTTGTTTACAGAGGCAACCCGCTTTCATCCCTTCCCTTACTCACTTCTCTACCCTCACTACATTCCTGGGATCCTCTCCCAGTTAAATCACTTGCACTCAAATGCTTGTCTCAGATTCCGCTCTTGGAAGAACCTAAATACAGACATTAAGGTACAGAGAGCTGAAAGACTCTCAGAGGTCAAATAAATAGTAAGAGACAGACTGGCAATTTGATCTGAGGCCATCTGACACCAGCTCCCACTCTCTCAAACACCATGCTCTGTTTCCTCTCACACGGTAGCCATGATATTGCCATGGCAGGAGGGTGGAGACTCTCCCCTCAACTCTGCTGACCCCAGAGCAAAAAAATCCCTTCTCTGGCTTCAGATGATTCTTCTCTGGTATCAAGTGGCTGAGCAGACCCCTCCCCTGCAGGCTTGGAACAGAGCCAGCCTGGCTGCCCAAGCTGTCCCCCTGGCACCAGTGCCTGCTTCCCAGCCAGCAGGAAGCCAGGACTGCCAGCCACTGCCAGGGTAGCCAGGAGTTGCACAGCTATTAAGTGTCACGGGTAGGATTCAGCCTCAAGCAGTCTGGCTCCTATCATTCTTGAATCCCATCTCTCCTGAAACTTGAAGTGAGTCAACTGCCAGCTACTTATCAGCTCCTTCATGATTTATGTGTGAATTTCTGCCCAAACCCAACTTTGATGGACCCCACCTGGAGGGAGGGGCTGGTAGGAGACGATGCCTTGGACCCTAAGAACCAGTAGGCTCCGAAAGAGAGGATTGCGATAGCTGGAAGGGAACCACCCTTCCCTCACACACCCTCTGCAAGCACCTCTCTGCCTGTTGACAAAGATCAGCTGTTCAACCTCAGTATATTTATTCATTTCCAGCCTCATTCCCAAAATGATTTGAGAGAGCTTAAAGAAATAGAGGCACAGTATCTCCACTGTTAAAGTAAGTTAAAACGGAGCTCAGACCTGAAGTATCCCTGAGCAGGCAAAACAAGTTATGTCTCGTACGGGACCTTAACCTTGCTTGATTTGCAGACATAATGCAAAACTGGAGCCCGCCCTTCCTTCCTTCCTTCCTTCCTTCTTTTCTTTTTTCTTTTCTTTCTTTTTTTTTTTTTTTTTTTTTTTTACCTGATCTCTCTCACTTTGCCACCTAGCCTGGAATGCAGTGGCACAATCACGGCTCACTGCAGCCTCCACCTCTCTGGCTTAAGCGATTCTCCCACTTCAGACTCCCTAGTAACTGGGACAACAAGTGCACGCCACCACACTCAGCTAATATTTTCTTTTATTTTTTGTAGAGACGAGGTCTTGTTATGTTGCCCAAGCTGGTCTCCAGCTCCTGGGCTCAAGTGATCCTCCCACCTCAGCCTCCCAAAGTGCTCAGATAACCGGTGTGAGTCACCATGCCAGCCCTTGAGCTATTTCTTGTAAATGCTTCTATTAAAGAAAAATAAAACTTAAGTGCAACTAATGAGAAGCAGCTAGCACAAATAATTATATAACCAGGGACTTTCCAATGGGATAGACCAAATAAGACAACTGTATAACTGTAATCAATCAAATATTATCTTTGCTTTATTTCTGTATCTGTCTTATAAAAAGCTCCCGCTTGTGTTCCCTCAGTAGAGCTCCCAAGCCACTTCTGGTTTGGGACTGCCTGGTTCAAAAATTGTTGTTTGCACACATAAACTCTTAGAAAATTTATTATGCCTCAGTTTACCTTCTTAATGCCACTAAAGATACTCCAGTAAATAATGCCTAGTTTACTACCTTGACAGCCTCATAATTAATACCATGATGATGTGATATCATTAGATCATTACACATAGAGTGACTAGCTTGTCCTGGCTTTGTTAGAACTCTTCCAGTTTTAAAACTGAAAGTCCCTTGTCTTGCAAAACTCCTCAGAGACAGACAACAAAAAGTTGATCACCCTCATTACAGAGAATTTGGACCATAAAGTCTACTTGCTAGTTTAAAAATTTAGCTCTGAGTTTCCTAGCAGCCAAGGCAAAGAGAAACACCATATGTTATAAAAATTGTTTATTTTATTGACAATTCTCCTTCCAGAAAAAAATTATTTACTTATTTATTTTAACATCTATAACAGCACTATCTGGTAGAACTTTCTGCAATAATGGAAACATTCTGCACTATTCAATATAATAGTTTCAGGTCGGGCACAGTGGCTCATGCCTATAATCCCAGCACTTTGGGAGGCCGAGGCAGGCGGAACAGCTGAGGTCAGGAGTCTGAGATCAGCGTGGGCAACATGATGAAACCCCAACTCTACTAAAAATACAAAAATTAGCTGGGCACAGTGGCACACACCTGTAATCCCAGCTACTCGGGTGGCTAAGGCAGGAGAATCACTTGAACCCGGGAGGCAGAAGGTGCAGTGAGCCAAGATCGCGCCACTGCACTCCAGCCTGGGCAACAGAGCGAAACTCCGTCTCAAAAACAAACAAACAAACAAAATCAATATAATAGTTGCTAGCCACTTGTCTCTATGGAGCACTTCAAATATGGCTAGTGTAGTGAAATAACTGAGTTTTTATTTTATTTCATTTTAATGTACTTAAATTTAAATAGCCTCATTTGGCTAGTGGCGACTGTATTGGACAGCACAGCTGTACTAGATACAAAGAAACCAAGTGCTCAGGAAGAGCCTCTTTCCTAATACTGAGGCCTGAGGAATTTCTCCCATGGTTATCACAGGAGGTGAATACAAAAGTTAGTTCCACCTAGGGGCTTTTCTTTTTTGTGTTATATACAGTATAATAGCTGGCTCTTCTAAAGCATAGGCTATGTGCTAAGTGCTCTCAAGCCCTTTTTTTTTTTTTTTTTTTTTTGAGACAGAGTCTCGCTCTATCACCGAGGCTAGAGTACAGGGGTGCGATCCCAGCTCACTGCATCTTCTGCCTCCCAGGTTCAATTTTCCTGCCTCAGCCTCCCAAGTAGTTGGGATTACAGGCGTGTGCCACCATGCCCAGCTAATTTTGTATATTTTTAGTAGAGACAGGGTTTCACCATGTTGGTCAGGCTGGTCTCGAACTCCTGACCTCAAGTGATCCACCAGCTTCAGCCTGCCAAAGTGTGCTGAGATTACAGGTGTGAGCCACCGTGCCTGGCTGGAGGCACTCTTTTCATATAATAATTCCTTCAATTCTCAAAACTAACCTAGAAAGTAGGAACTTTCAGCATCCACAGGGAGAAAGCTCCTCCTGGGAGAAATCCCGAGAGACCTAAGGCTGCACCTTCCCTGAAACACTGGTACATTGGTCTCCCTGCCCTTCCTGGAGAGAGCCAGGAGCCTGCGGGACAGGTAGAGGGCTAGAAAAGAGTAGGGGAAGAGACAAGAGGGAGGGAGACCAGGAAGAGGGGTTCCCAGATGTCCTCACCCCCGTCCCAGCTGCCACTGCAGGACTGACGTTGACTACATGGAAAAAGTGAGCAATGTCTGGCATCATCCCCTGGTACCAGAGGGCATTTGGGGAGTCAGAAGGAAGACCTCATGTGCCAGGCCACAGAATGCACCTGCATACCCACAGGCATGGAGCCTGGGCCAGGCCCACCTAGGACAAAACACCTCTTTCAAGTTTTCTGTGGATGGTCCCCTGATATCCTTCACCACACTGGTCTGACTGCCAGGATCTCTTGGGCCTGCTGGGCCCCTCAGACCCTGGTAAGCAAAGGAGGAGGCAGGTGTGACCCCCCTCCCCGCTGCCACTCCATCTGTGACTGGGAAGCTGATGACTCCAGGGTCAGAAATAACCCCACGGTCAGCTCCCTGCATGCCGCCCTTCCCCTCCCCTCCGTTCCCAGAAAGCCTGGGCCCTGAGTCAGAGGGAAGAGTCGAGAAGAGAGAAAGGACTCAGATAATCTGGGATGAAAACCACGGAGTCCTGCTGTGGAATTCATTCATTGGGAGGCCGAGGCAGGCAGATCACCTGAGGTCGGGAGTTCAAGACCAGCCTGGCCAACATGGTGAAACCCCATCTCTACTAAAAATACAAAAATTAACCGGGTGTGGTGGCGCAAAGGAGGAGCTGGACCTGGCCAATCTCGGCCCAGTGAAGAGCTGTGCCTCGTCATTCAGATGTCTTCCCCCCAAATCCAGCTTTATCAGGGCCGTGTTGACCTGTGCTGTGGGGCACGGGGAGGAATGGATAAGAAAGAAGGAATTCTTTAGTGCAGAAGGGAATGGGGAAGAAAAAGAGCTGAGCTTCACACTCAGAGGTATTCAGGCTCAGAACAGAGGAGGAGAGCCCCAGCTTGCCCTCAGGAGACCTCCAGTCTCCTGGCACAGTGGGTGGAGACACGTCAGGAAGAGTCAGAGGCAGGACCAGAGTAGAGTGATGGAGGCTCACAAGACGGGGGCAAGCTGTCCAAGGTGTCAGATGCCCCTTCTTATTCACTCTCTCAAAATAGTCTGGGACACCCCCAACCCCACAACCCAGCTGAGTCACTGACCCCAATCCCCAGATCAGACTTTGGATGAATGAAGCTTCTCCCCCTCTGTTTCCCCTCCCCAGCCCAAAGGACATGTAATTGATTCCCCAGGATGGAAGAGTGACTTCCACAAGACCTAAAAATAACCAAACCACTTAATACTCTGAACATAGCCTCTCCCGCCCGCCCCCACCACGGCCCACCCACTAGCCAGCAAGATAAAGGCAGCTGCTGGGGCTGGCAGGGGACAGAGACCCAGAGCCAGGGCAGCAAGAAGGTGTCTGTTGGAGCCAGCAGAACAGAACCAATTTGAACAAGAACCTCGAGAGGAACGACGAACCCTGAGACCACAGCTGCTACAGACCCCAAACACCCCATCAGCCAAGAGAGACCCTCGGTGAGTAACCTACCTCTCTGTCCTTCCACGGCAGGACTGGCGTTCACAGCTGGGATCCCCTGCCCTCCTGGAATGGACGTATTAGGGGTGGCTCTGAGTGGGGGAAGGAGATTGAGGGGCATGCATGGGAGGAGGTGAGTGGAAGTCTCAGATATAAAGAACCCACAAAGGAGGTAAAGACAGTGTGAGCCCCATGGGAGCTCTCAGAGTGGCTGCCACAGGCCTGAAGCTAGCAGAAAGGACAGGGTCCTGCCAGGCTGGCATGATCCAGTAAGGCCTGGAGTTGTGATTTTTAAAATACAGGTATGGAATGCCTCAGGCTTCGGGGCTTCCTCCCAGGGAAGCCTCAGGCAGGCCCAGGGTCTGGAGGAAGGAGGAACAGAAGAGAGGTGGGAGCAGGGGCCGTAGGTAGGCCTGAGTGTGCATTGCTAGAACAAGCCCCATGCCTAGTTGCTGTGGATGACACTCTCGGCATATCTGGCCCAGGGATAGCTCCCAGGGGCTGGCCGGAGCCCAGCTCCCTACGTATCATAGCCTAAAATCTGGGGTGGAATTTGGACTCTGCCTATGGTCTTGCCCAGTGGGAAAGCCCCCAGGGCAGATCTGGGGTGCTCAGGGGAGGGAGACCGGATCTGAATTTGTCCAGATGTAAAGACATATGGAGCCAGCTGGGCCGAGGAGGAGGTAACCTGAGGACAGCAGTGGGACCATCCTGAGAGGTTGGCCCAGCCCTAGGAGACCAAGGTTTAGGACAATTCTTGGGGTCACCCCACCTAAGTCTGGTCCCAGTTATGAATTCTGTCCTGACTCTACACTTGCCCCAGGAGTCTCAAGCCAGGCAAGGATGGTGGTGGAAAGGCCAGGAGTCAGGAGGCATGCTTCAGGCTTTGCTACTGCCTTGCTGAGCCTCCTTGGACAGCTCCTTTCCCCTCTTTGGCCCTCTGTTTCCCTATTTGAACAACAAGGGGTTTAGATTGAGTGACCTCTGAGGGTCCTCAGGCCTGACATCCCTGGACTCCATGATAATAACTGCCTGTGGCCTTAGCAGAGATTCTGGAAATTGCTGGGGGTGGGGGTGGGGTGAAACTGATGGTCTGCCCATGCCATCTGCTCAGGTCACCCTGCTGGTGACAGGATGGAGTGGAGGTGGAGACAGGCACAGGTTTGCCTTGGGCAGGGGATCCTCGTTGGAGCTCAGAAATGAAAGAAAACCACGCAGAGCTTTGATGAGACTCAGGTTACATGTTTCAGAGCTCACACTCCCCAAAGGTTCTGATGTCTTTGATGGGCATGCCAGGGTGGGCATGGGGTCAGGAGGTCTCGGTTTCCTCTCTCCTCCTTCTGAGGTAGCCATAGGGAGGAAGTCCTGCCCCACTTGCTGCCAGTACTTCCCTCCACCGCAGACTCCTTTGGCCAGGGAAGGTGTCCAGGTTCTAGCACCTGGTTGGACTGCAGCCCAGGGGCCTGACACCAGCCCAGGAGGCAGGATAGGGGAGCCCAGGGTAACGAAGGAGAGGAGGTGAGCCAAGGGCACTGAGGATCCCCACTGGCTGGGCCTCAGCCTCCCTCTGAGCCCAGGGCTGCTGTTCTGAGGCCAGAACCTCAGCTATATTTAGCACCCTGTGTGGTGCAGAGCAGTGGGTCAGGGGCAGCGGGAGGGGGCACATGCTTCCCATTCTTTCCCTACTGGCCTCTGGGGACTGTTAGTACACCTGTCACAAGACAGATAAGACATACATGGACAGAGACCAGAGAAGGGCTTGAGGGGTGGGAGGCCATTGAGGGGCGGGGGTGGAGCCGGGGAGAGGCTGAGCTGGGGTGGCCATGAGGCCTGCAGGGGTAGGGCTTAGCCTGAAGCCCCCCTGAGTCCGAGCCCCTGAAGCTGTGCTTGCTTGCTTAGAGAGCGGTCTCCAGGGGCAAGGGGCAGAGCTGTCTCTGCAGAAAGGACCCTGGTCCCATGGTCCTCTCCCTGGTAGGTGTCACCCTCATATCCTCCGAGGGGTGCCTGCTGGGGAATAGACTGGTCCTATGGCCAATAAGAAAGCTTTACACCTCCTACCCTCTTATGTCTTGGGCCCATGCCCTAAATAGAGTCTAGGGAACCCAAGCCAGCACTGCCTTCCACTTATTCACCAAGATCTGACTCTGGGCCTAAGTTCCCTCGTCTTTATTTATAAATGGTTGTGCTAAAAGACCTTTGAGATCCCCCTAGCTCAGACATTCTCAGTCTTGGAGTATAGTGCAGAAAACCCTGACCAGAGATTCAGAATTTGGATCTGGCCTAACTACGAGATATGTGATGAGCAGCTTCCCAGCCCTGATCCTCAACTGCTTCCACTCTAGCATGGGCTGTTGGCCTCCGCTTGCCTCCTTGGGCCTGGGAAAGGTTGGAGTGCGTTGACAGCCAAGAGATAAAAGTTAGGCAGCACTCCAGGTCAACATGGCAAGTCTGCCCTCTGGTGTTCTGCAAAGGAATCTCGTCTGCATGGGAAATCAGTTACCAGGTTAGAGACCTGTCCCTCCAAGGCTGGGACTCCAAAAGTCAGGATTCCCCCAGGCCACTCTCCTGGGAGTCTTCTAGGGCAACACTGATTTTTAACAAAGGAAGGTGAGGATGGGGCCTGTCCAGTTTGCCCACTGGGGGTTTAGGCATCCCTTATGGAGCTAAAGGAAAGAGTGTCATGTCCACTTGTCCCATGGTTGCTCCCTAGCAACCCAGGAGATGTAGGGAAAGCAGGAACCCACTGTGATTAATGGGTCCATATGTCCTAAGTTCAAGACCTGTTGCCCACAACAGGCAGCAAAGTGAAACCCAGGCCAGGCACATAAAGAGAGGCAAGGAGTCTCTAAGTGTAAGTCACCGAGAGCTACTCTGACCCTGAGCCCTGTTTACTGCCATTTCTCCCAGCATCCAGCCTCTACCCTGCTGAACATCTAGATCTAAGGTCCCCCATCCCATCCTCATCTCTGCCCCTTCTTCTCAGAAGGATGGCCGACGCCCAGACACAGGTGGCCCCCACACCAACCATGAGGATGGCAACTGCAGAGGACCTGCCCCTCCCTCCACCCCCAGCCCTGGATGACCTGCCACTGCCACCACCCAAGGAGTCCTTCTCCAAGTTCCACCAGCAGCGGCAAGCTAGTGAACTCCGCCGCCTCTACAGGCACATCCACCCTGAGCTCCGCAAGAATCTGGCCGAGGCTGTGGCCGAGGATCTGGCCGAGGTCCTGGGCTCTGAGGAACCCACTGAGGGTGACGTTCAGTGCATGCGATGGATCTTTGAGAACTGGCGACTGGATGCCATTGGAGATCACGAGAGGCCAGCTGCCAAGGAGCCTGTGCCGGGTGGTGACGTCCAGGCCACCTCCCGCAAGTTTGAGGAAGGCTCCTTTGCCAACAGCACAGACCAGGAGCCAACCAGGCCCCAGCCAAGTGGAGGGGACGTTCGTGCAGCCCGCTGGCTATTTGAGACAAAGCCACTGGATGAGCTGACAGGGCAGGCCAAGGAACTGGAGGCCACTGTGAGGGAACCTGCAGCCAGCGGAGATGTGCAGGGTACCAGGATGCTCTTTGAGACGCGGCCGCTGGACCGCCTGGGCTCCCGCCCCTCCCTGCAGGAGCAGAGCCCCTTGGAACTGCGCTCAGAGATCCAGGAGCTGAAGGGTGATGTGAAAAAGACAGTGAAGCTCTTCCAAACGGAGCCCCTGTGTGCCATCCAGGATGCAGAGGGTGCCATCCATGAGGTCAAGGCCGCATGCCGGGAGGAGATCCAAAGCAACGCGGTGAGGTCTGCCCGCTGGCTCTTTGAGACCCGGCCTCTGGACGCCATCAACCAGGACCCCAGCCAGGTGCGGGTGATCCGGGGGATTTCCCTGGAGGAGGGGTCCCGGCCCGATGTCAGTGCAACTCGCTGGATCTTTGAGACACAGCCCCTGGATGCCATCCGGGAGATCTTAGTAGATGAAAAGGACTTCCAGCCATCCCCAGACCTTATCCCACCTGGTCCAGATGTTCAGCAGCAGCGGCATCTGTTTGAGACCCGAGCGCTGGACACTCTGAAAGGGGATGAGGAGGCTGGAGCAGAGGCCCCACCCAAAGAGGAAGTGGTCCCTGGTGATGTCCGCTCCACCCTGTGGCTATTTGAAACAAAGCCCCTGGATGCTTTCAGAGACAAGGTCCAAGTGGGTCACCTACAGCGAGTGGATCCCCAGGACGGTGAGGGGCATCTATCCAGTGACAACTCCTCTTCAGGAGGAGTCATCTATCCAGTGACAACAGCACTGCCCTTCTCTCAGAGTGCCCCCCAGAGGGATGGGCTAAAGGGGGACGTGAAGACTTTTAAGAACCTTTTTGAGACCCTTCCCTTGGACAGCATTAGACAGGGTGAGGTTCTGGCCCATGGGAGTCTAAGCAGAGAAGAAGGAACTGATTCTGCTGGGCAGGCCCAGGGCATAGGGTCCCCAGTGTATGCCATGCAGGACAGCAAGGGCCGCCTCCATGCCCTGACCTCTGTTAGCAGAGAGCAGATAGTCGGAGGTGATGTCCAAGGCTACAGATGGATGTTTGAGACACAGCCCCTAGCCCAGCTCGGCCGAAGCCCCAGTACCATCGACGTGGTGCGGGGCATCACCCGGCAGGAAGTGGTGGCTGGGGATGTTGGCACTGCTCGGTGGCTTTTTGAGACCCAGCCCCTGGAGATGATCCACCAACGGGAGCAGCAGGAACGACAGAAAGAAGAGGGGAAGAGTCAGGGAGACCCCCAGCCTGCGGCACCCTCCAAAGGCGATGTGCAGACCATCCGGTGGTTGTTCGAGACTTGCCCAATGAGTGAGTTGGCCGAAAAGCAGGGGTCAGAGGTCACAGATCCCACAGCCAAGGCTGAGGCACAGTCCTGCACCTGGATGTTCAAGCCCCAACCCGTGGACAGGCCAGTGGGCTCCAGGGAGCAGCACCTGCAGGTTAGCCAGGTCCCGGCTGGGGAAAGACAGACAGACAGACATGTCTTTGAGACCGAGCCTCTTCAGGCCTCAGGTCGTCCCTGCGGAAGAGGGCCTGTGAGATACTGCAGCCGTGTGGAGATCCCTTCAGGGCAGGTGTCTCGTCAGAAGGAGGTTTTCCAGGCCCTGGAGGTAGGCAAGAAGGAAGAACAGCAGCCCCGGGTAATCGCTGGGTCCATCCCTGCGGGTTCTGTCCACAAGTTCACTTGGCTTTTTGAGAATTGCCCCATGGGCTCCCTGGCAGCTGAGAGCATCCGAGGGGGCAACCTCCTGGAAGAGCAGCCCATGAGCCCCTCAGGCAACAGGATGCAAGAGAGCCAGGAGACTGCAGCTGAGGGGACCCTGCGGACTCTGCATGCCACACCTGGCATCCTGCACCATGGAGGCATCCTCATGGAGGCCCGAGGGCCAGGGGAGCTCTGTCTTGCCAAGTATGTGCTCTCGGGCACAGGGCAGGGACTCCCCTATATACAAAAGGAGGAGCTGGTGTCAGGTGAACTTTCCAGGATCATCCGCCAAGTCCTGCGCCGGCCAGATGTGGACCAGCAGGGGCTGCTGGTGCAGGAAGACCCAACTGGCCAGCTCCAACTCAAGCCGCTGAGGCTGCCAACTCCAGGCAGCAGTGGGAGTATTGAAGACATGGACCCCGAGCTCCAGCAGCTGCTGGCTTGTGGTCTCAGGGCCTCCGTGGCAAGAACTGGGCTGGTGATGCAGGAGACAGAGCAGGGCCTGGTCGCACTGACTGCCTATTCTCTGCAGCCTCGGCTAACTAGCAAGGCCTCCGAGAGGAGCAGCGTGCAGCTGTTGGCCAGCTGCATAGACAAAGGAGACCTGAGTGGCCTGCACAGTCTGCGGTGGGAGCCCCCGGCTGACCCGAGTCCAGTGCCAGCCAGCGAGGGGGACCAGAGCCTGCCCCCAGCTGAGAGCATCATCCATGTTCCCCCACTGGACCCCAGCATGGGGATGGGGCATCTGAGAGCCTCAGGGCAAGCTATCCCTTGCCCTCCTCAGTCCATTGGAAAGGCAGTCCCTCTGGCTGGGGAAGCTGCAGCACCAGCCCAGTTGCAAAACACAGAAAAGCAGGAAGACAGTCACTCTGGACAGAAAGGGATGGCAATCTTGGGAAAGTCAGAAGGAGCCACTACTACCTCTCCGGGGCCTGGGGCCCCAGACCTCCTGGCCGCCATGCAGAGTCTGCGTATGGCAACAGCTGAAGCCCAGAGCCTGCACCAGCAAGTTCTGAATAAGCACAAGCAGGGCCCCACCCCCGCAGCCACTTCCAACCCCATCCAGGACGGTCTTCGGAAAGCTGGGGCTACCCAAAGCAACATCAGGCCTGGGGGTGGAATTGATCCCCGGATCCCAGCAGCCCCTAGAAAGGTCAGTGGGGAAGAGCAAGCACTACCCAGAGGGCTGCCTGGGGGGTGGGTGACAATTCAGGACGGCATCTACACCGCTCATCCCGTGAGGACCTTTGACCCACCAGGGGGTGTCCAGCCTTCTGAGAGGGAACCCCAGTCAAGGCGCAGGGAGACTGCCCTCTCAGTCCAGGCTCCCCGCCCACTCCAGGGAGGCCCAGGTCAGAGTACTGGGCCAGGGCGGGAGGAGCCTGGGGGCCGCGCACAGATGGCCTGGGGGCCTCCAGGGAAGTTGATGGCAGAAGTCTGCCCAGGGGACCTCCAAGCTGCAGAGACCACCCTGAAGACTGCCCCTCTAGGCAGCCACAATCTGGCCTCTGGGCCCCAAGTCGCAGGTGCCAGCCCGCACCCCCATAATGCCTTTGTTCCTCCTCCTCCTACTCTCCCAGCTGCTGTGACAGGACCTGACTTTCCAGCCGGAGCCCGCCGTGACGAGGACTCCATCCAGCAGGCCTCTGAGCCCCTGAAGGACCCCCTTCTTCACCCCCACAGCAGCCCTGCTGGCCAGAAAACCCCTGGAGGGTCACAGACAAAGACCTCAAAACTGGAGCCCACCATGCCCCCAAAGAAGAAGCCACAGCTGCCCCCTAAACCTGCACACCTAACCCAGAGCCACCCTCCTCAGAGGCTGCCCAAGCCCTTGCCTGTATCTCCCAGCTTTTCCTCAGAGGTGGGGCAAAGGGAACACCAACGAGGTGAGACAGATGCAGCCATCCCTCAGCCAGTCAAGGTTCCCACCACTGTAGGCCAGGGCCACATACCTCTGGCCAGATGCCCCAGTGGACATAGCCAGCCCAGTCCCCAACATGGCTTCAGCACCACGGCACCCAGGCCCACCAACAATCAGGCTACAGGCAGCAATGCCCAGAGCTCTGAGCCCCCCGAGCTCAATGCCCTCAACTGTGATCCCACCTCACTGCAGTGGGGCCCCAGCACCTCAGGAGAGCAGCCCATGGAAGGTTCCCACCAAGGGGCCCCTGAGAGCCCTGAGAGTCTGCAAAGAAACCAGAAAGAGCTCCAGGGCCTCCTGAACCAGGTGCAAGCCCTTGAGAAGGAGGCTGCAAGCAGTGTGGATGTGCAGGCCCTGCGGAGGCTGTTTGAGGCTGTGCCCCAGCTGGGAGGGGCTGCTCCTCAGGCTCCTGCTGCCCACCAAAAACCTGAGGCCTCAGTGGAGCAGGCATTTGGGGAACTGACACGGGTCAGCACGGAGGTCGCTCGACTGAAGGAACAGACCTTGGCAAGGCTGCTGGACATTGAAGAGGCTGTGCACAAGGCACTCAGCTCCATGTCTAGCCTCCAGCCTGAGGCCAGTGCCAGCGGCCACTTTCAGGGACCTCCAAAAGACCACAGTGCCCACAAGATCAGTGTCACAGTCAGCAGTAGTGCCAGGCCCAGTGGCTCAGGCCAGGAGGTCGGGGGTCAAACTGCAGTCGAGAACCAAACCAAGGTTGGATGCCACACTGAGGCCCAGAGTCAAGTCAAGATCAGAAATCACACAGAGGCCAGAGGTCACGCAGCCTCAACTGCCCCTTCCACTAGGAGGCAGGAGACATCAAGAGAAGATTTGTGCCTCCCTCGGGTCTTACCTTCCAGTCGAGATTCGCCCTCCTCCCCAACATTTATCTCCATCCAGTCAGCCACAAGGAAGCCTCTAGAGACTTCTAGCTTTAAGGGTAACCCTGATATCTCAGTGAAAAGCACACAAGCGGCTCAGGACATAGGCCAGGCCCTGCTCCACCAGAAAGGTGTCCAAGACAAGGCTGGGAAGAAGGACATCACCCAGTGCTCTGTGCAACCTGAGCCTGCCCCTCCCTCAGCAAGTCCCCTGCCCAGAGGGCGGCAAAAGAGTGTTCTGGAGCTACAGACTGGGCCAGGGAGCTCACAGCACTATGGAGCCATGAGAACCGTGACTGAGCAGTATGAGGAGGTGGACCAGTTTGGGAACACAGTCCTCATGTCTTCCACCACAGTCACCGAGCAGGCAGAGCCACCCAGGAGCCCAGGCTCCCACCTTGGGCTCCACGCCTCCCCCTTGCTGAGGCAGTTCCTGCACAGCCCAGCTGGGTTCAGCAGTGACCTGACAGAAGCTGAGATGGTGCAGGTGTCCTGCAGCTACTCCCAGCCAGCTACCCAGTGAGGCCCACCGCCTCCCACCACACCTGCCACCTGTTCCTGGCCTCCATTGCCCCAGGACTGAGGTGGGTGCCTGCCTCCTGCACACTGGAGCAAGGACCAAGAGGAAAGGGCATCTTCAGAGGATTACTGTGGGCCATTTCCCTTTCATCACTTCTTTCAGTAGGCCCAGTTCTTCCGAATGGAAAAAGAAAGGTCTGGAAGAGGCCCACTGAGTAGCACAGGCGTGGGGGTAGGACGGGGGCTCCCAGCTACGTCCTTGTGGAGGATGTAATATGTACAGACACACACATGTTTCTCACACAGGCCTGGCCCATGCATGGACATGTGTGAATCTGCACACCACTGCCTGAGTTGGAGTCCCCCAGAGTGTCCCTCTACCCAGAGTTTTAATTTTTTTTTTATTAGTCTGAATGCTCCCAGCCATCTGCTCCTTAATCTCTGGAGAGGAACAGAGCCAACTGGACACAGCGTTGGTCTCTGTTTGGAATCACTGTGAGGTCTCCAGAAGGACCTGGCCGCCAGCCCCTTCATCACCATCTCCATCATTCAGCTGGTCATCTGGTGGCCCAAGGGTCACACAAAGAGTCAGCAATCAGCATATCCCTAGAAGCCAAATGCACTGCCTTTCTCTGTCCCCACAACTGTCCCCCACTCTGCACCCCAAATGGGAAGCATACGGTCTGAATAAATCCAAGTTTTATTCTCTATTCTGTGCATGTCTGACTGTGTGTACATCTGTTCCAGTCTGTGTTCCCACTGCAGGGGGAGAAAACAGCCACAACCTCCAGGTGCCTCGTCTTCCTAGCAACAGTAGTGTGGGAAGGCTCTAAAAGCCACCCCTTCTCCTCCATCTTGGCTGGCAACCAGAAATGCCCTGCCCACACTTCTAGTCTCCTTGCCCCTATCCCCATTACACACACACACACACACACACACACACACACACACAGTGCTGCCCTCTCTATCTCGATCTCACCTCCTGGATGTTCTTGAACAGCATCCTGGAGGGATTCTTAGAATCCTGCCCCAGAGTTGGAGAGCAGCCCATTCAGGCCTGGGAAGCGGGAGGAACTCATGCCAGGAGAATTCCTCTGCCCAAGATGTCTGGGTCACTTCTGCCTGTTCAGCCCAGGTGTCGTGTGCCAAGCAGGGGTTCCTGGGAAATGGAGTGCACAGATCCTGGCCTAGAAAGTCAGGATGTTTTGGTGATGGGCCCTTTTTAAGTTTCTTTCAAAAATCACTAAGCATCTTCTGTGTTCCAGGCCTGTTCTAGGCAATGGGGATACAGAGGTGAGGTCCAATGGGGTCCCGCTTTCAGGGAACTTTTTAGAATGAGGAGACAGAGACAATATATAAGAAAAATTAGATCAGGAATAGGGTGATGCATCTGACTAGGCCACTCTCCCATTTTTGGGAAAAAAGTCTTAAAATATGGTCATGCAACAATGGCAGGTGATTGCCTTAGACTGCGGCATGGCCAAGGCAGGGCTCTCTAAGGAAAAAACACCTCAGCTGAGATCTGAATGACAAAGAGCAACTATGTGCAAATCGGGGGAGGAAGCATGCTAGGTAGAGGGAAGAGCACTTGCAAAGACCCCGAGGTGGAATAAATTTAGTTCCTGGATTTCCTGGATACCCAGGCGTTTGAAACTAGGTTTGCCTCACACCAAGTTTATGTGGAAAGTTACTCACACTTTGCTCCAATGGAAGAGACAGGCCCTATCCTACCCCTAACCCAGGGCCTAACCCTCCACAACCCTCACAGGCCCCTCATTGCCTGCTCAGCCAATATGCATAGGGTTCTCCTGGGACAACACAGCTCTGATCTGGAAGGAGCCTGTGCCCTGTGGGAGACTGTGCTGTGTCGAGAATAATCAAGGTACCAAATCCACCTGCTTGGGCCTGGTACACAAATCTTGTTGATCCCCTGCCTTCTGCGGGATCTCACTTGATTACAGGGCCCAGCAGCCTATATAGGCAATGACCTTGAGCAGTCGGATAAATAACTCCCACATGCTTAGCGTTCCAATAATGGAACGCTAGAAAGTATAAAGAGCTTGAAGCTATGCCTGGCATCTGGAACTCAAAGACATTCACTTTAAGTATTATCGTAATTAAAAAAAAAAAAATACATATCTTCTTTCTTACCTCCAGGGATATTCCTGTCTCGTTCATCTTGGTACCTCTTTACCACAAGTGCCTAAAAGGCACTCCATAAATGTCAAATAAATGAATGCATAAATGAATGAAATGATTGAGGAAATCTGCCGATTCATCCAAGTAACTTTTATTGAGCACCTCATTCATGCCAGGCTCTGTTCAGGGTGCTGACAACAGAAATGAACAAGGCAGAATTTCTGCCTCAGCTTATGGAACTTCGGTTTCAAGAGGGAAGACAATGTAAGTAGAAGCAGACAAGATAATTTTACAGGGGAGAAATACTGTGAAGGAAATAAAACACAAAGTCCAAGAGGGAAATGTTGGCAGTTCCTTCAACTTGGGTGGTCAGGGAAGGCGTCTCAGCGGAGGTGACCCGAATGACAGAAGACTCAGTCCAGTTGGTTGGAGATGGCGGCCTGAGGGGAAGAGTGGGGAGAGGTGGCTAGGCCGGTGGTGCGCGCCGGCGGCGGCGTGCACAGAGAGAAGCGGCTTTTCGGCGAGGCCGCTCCGGGCGCCCTGCACACCTGCGGCCACGCGTGCCGCCGAGGAAGGGAGGGGGCGGGCGGGGCTGAAGGCGCACCCCGCGGGAGGCGGAGCGCGTGGCGCCAAGACCCCGCCCCCGGAGCCCGCAGGGCGTGTTCCCACCGGCCGTCGCCGAGGCGACGATGAGAGCTAAGGGGCCGCCGAGTTCAGAACGTTCGGGCGGCGGCGGCTGTTGCTGGGAGACGTCCGGCAGGAGCGCAGCCAGGGACTGGCTCTGCACTGCAGACGACGGACGCCAGGACGCGCCATCCTGGCCAGCCCTCTCGCTGAGGCTCCCTTCGGACTCCAGACGGATAGCGGGTTCCCGTCCTCGCCCATGTCTAGATCCTGCTCGGGACCTGCAGGACTGGGCGCCTCCTCCCTCGCTGGTACTCTCTGTCATTGCCTCTGTGTCCGGAATTTGTCCACCAGTCCCCATCTTCACCGCCATCACCATGTCTCAAGCCATCGTGCATCCTCCCTTCCCTGGGGGATGAGGCACTGCCACAGCCTCCCCAATGATCCTCCTCCCTTTGCCCTGTGTGTCCTTACACTCTGTCCTCCAGTAGGCAGCTGGAACTCTTATTAATAAGAGTTTACCAGATCCAGGCACTCCTGCATAATACCCTCCACCGGCTCCCCAGCTCACTCAGTCTTAAATCCAAACTCCTCTCAGTGACCTGTAGGACCAGAATGACTTGCCTCTCTGCCTTCCTCTCCAACTTCGTTGGCCCCACTCTCCTCCTCACCCACATCACCCTAGTCACACTGTCTTTCTTGCCCTTCTCAGAACATACCAAGCTGATTCCTGCCTCCGGACCTTTGTACTTAATGAACCCTCTAGCTGAAAGTCTCTTCTCCCAGATGGTTAGTGGTTGAGCTCCTTCTCACTCAGGTCTCAGTTCCAATGTCTCTCCAGAAAGACCTTTCTTGATCAGTCCTCCCCGCTTCCCCCATCTAAAGAGGCCCTTGTTTTCACGCTGCTTTATGTTTTCCCATATTTTCCTCTCACAATATGAAATTATCTTGCTCACTTATTCCCTTGTTTCTTAGTGTTCTAGATATTATTTCTGCATAGCAAACCACCCCAAACAGGAATTTGGGACAGAGCACAGTTGGCATGGCTTGTTTCTGTGCCACAATGTTTGGGACGTCAGCAGGGATGTCAGCCAGAACACACACGTGTGGCCTCTCCATGTGGCCTGGGCTTCCCCACAACATGGCAATCTCTGGGTTGTCGAACTTCCTAAGTTGTAGTTCAGGGCTCCAAAGACATGTCCCATCTAACAAGGCAGAAGCTGTATCGCCTCTTATGACCTAGTCTCAGAAGTCATGAAAAATCACATCTGTACATCCCGTTGGTTACAAGTGAGTCACAAGTCTGCCCAGATTGAAAGGAAGGGGGTATTAGACATCACCTTTTGGTAGGCGAGAGGCAAAATTCTAGAACATGCATACGTCTTTGGAAAGTGACATCTCCACAGTCAGTCTTCCCCCACTGAAGTAGCATTTCCATGAAGACTCACATCTCATTTGATTTTTATTGCATCCCCAGTGCTAGAATGGTGCCAGAACACATAGTAAGTGCTAAATTCATGTTTTAGAGTGAATACATGAAGGATTATCTTTCAAGAGGTCATTCAAGCCCAGCTCTTCTCCCTGCAAGTGTATTTCCTGTCCCAGCCCTTGATTTTGGCCTGATCTGCTCTGGAGAAAGCCCAGTGTTCATATTTGAGGGTGGGAGTCAAGACTATTATGGGGGTGGAGATGTGCACATAAAAACAGTTATTGGGGATTAAGAAGTAGGTAGCCAATGAGTTTCTGGGGCAGTTTTCTACTGAAAGGGTATTGAAAACTTAGTCTGCTTTTCCCCATTCTTTATCCTGGAAATGTCCAAGTGAGGTGGTTTTGTCCTCCAGGCCATAGGGAGCAGGAAAGTGGCCCAACAAGAATGGAGCTTTGGGGAGGCAGCTCAGGCAGCAGGGGTGGGGTTAGAATGCCTGTTAAGAACAATCGCAGGATCTGGGCAAGAGGTGGCCCTGAAGCTGCCCACAAGCCTGTGAAGTTACTGGAAGTCTCCTTGCTTTGTTATTTGTGAAAGACCTTCCATTTGATCTTCCCAAAGTCCTGGAGCACATACAGGTTCTCCTCCTGTCTTCCTGTTTTCCAAGAGGGCTGGCAGCATCTGCCATTCACCGAAGCCAGAGAAGATAGCCCAGGCTTCTCCCTGCATTACCGCCTCATATCAGTGGGCTTTGGCTTCCCAAGTACCTCTTCCCCTTGCCCCCTGCTTCATTTCTACGTTGATCTGTGAGCTCCAACATCCAACTGTACCGCAGCAACAGCCTCCTCATTTCTCTCCCCACCACCAGTGCCACCCCCAAACCATCAGTCCTCCAATCCAGCCTTGCAGCAGCTTCTCACCACCTCTGTCATCTTAAAATCCACGCTTCTTAGGTCATTCAAGGCCCTTCCTGTGCAGCTGGTACTGTGTTTATGGCCTCCTCCGGGAGGGGAGAATTCTATCTTCTAGATCCTTTCATGTTCTTTCCAGGCTGTGTCACATCGCCCTGATTTTACCCAGGGCCAACTCACCCATCCGGCACAGGGGGCAACAGTGCCTAGGGTCCACAATACTTTTAGAAACTCATGACAATGTTGTAACTTATTTTACTATAAGAAGGGAAAAACAAACTTTCAGGCCGAAGACATTGTTTGAATATATAACATTAACCTATTCGGCTTTATACCACCACAGTCGTAAAATATACTTTAAAATTTTTTTTATGGAAAAGGAGCCCATTAAGGCAAAAGTACTTAGGGTCCACAAAAATCATAATGGGGCTCTGGTTTTGGTTATGCTGTCCGTCCCTGCAACCTGTGGCAGAGCTGCCTAGTTAGATGCCCAGCTAACTTCCGAAGAAAACTCTAGCAGAGGCTCTGCTTGGGAACCCTCAGGAACCACTCCCTGGTCCCAAATCAGGCGCTATGAGGACTGAGGTCCGCGCCCCAACCCCCACCTGCG